TGCCTGCCTCACCCATTTACCTGAATTCAGTAGGACTGCCTATTGAGTAGACATGTACATTCACATGTTACAGTAGCTCCCTTCACATGTTACAGTAGCTCTGTAGAAGGACCGTATACCTGAAGAGGCCTTGCCAGAAGACAACTAGGCTAACTGAAACTTTGGCATGTTTATATCAGCTTTTCCCCTGGGGGCTCCTTGCTTCCTTCTAATGTTGTGCGGGTGGCTTCCTTTGCTCAATTTCTGCATTGGCCTGGACACCACAATCTACACACACTCCACACTGAACAACTCCTTACAGATGAGGTGAAATGCTGTCAAGGGCCTCAGCTTGACTGGGGCGTGATGCCATAGCTTGCTTAGTTTAATGGTTAAGCCACCCATGGAAGGCTCTGTTATTGTGACTTTCCTCCAGCTCAAAGACAAACAGGCTATCATAAACTCATTTGGCTCAGTATCACTGTGAATGTCTTGCACAGATGGAGTGCCAAGGGCAAAGGGTCGATCTGATGCATTCATTATTAATACCTCGTAAGCAAAAGAAAAGGCGGGGGGCCCTGGTTGTCTTTCTGTTGCTTGCCTCCCCCAGCATTTGCTGCCAGCTGATCCTGTGCGGACTTGGTGTCTGTTCAAGCATCCTTCAGGCTCCCACACCTATACCAGGGAATGCACATGCTTCTTATATCCACTATAAGCTGATGGGGGTTTCACTTAGCTGGTTTTAAAAGGAAAAGGACTACCCATGTTTATGGAGGATCATTCTTTTGAGAGCTGTTGTAATTATTTTGTTTTGTGAAGCCACACAATGATGGCTTCTGCTTTGCTGGGGGAGAGGGGCACAGGGTAGGCCCACAGTGAGTGCCCACTTTGAAGAATCCCGTAGAGATGCTTCTGAGTGGCTCACCTGCCTTTCCCTGTGCCCAGGATTGGTGCGTAATGATGAGAAAGGGGGTGTGGACTGACAGCAGCTAGGTCAACTGTGAGAAAGTAGGTTCATTGAGGGAAGGAACTTGTGCAGCCGGGATCTCTCCCCATTCCCTTTGAGCTTAGCTGCACTCCTTATAGTACCTGAGGGAAAATAAGATTTTCCCAGCAAGACTGACAGACTCCAGACTGCAACCCACAATTATTACTATTTAGCATGCAATCCCGGATCAGGGTAGGGGTTCCCATGGCTAGAAGCTGACTATGCTCTGGGTGTGGGTGGTTAGTTTAAACACCGCAATAACTCACCGTGTGCCAGGTGCGGATGATCCAGCAAACCGCGGGAAACTCGCCTCCCTCCTCGCTGCAACGTGGTAAGGCCACGTGGTACCGGCTCCTTGGCGGGGCCGGAGCCTGGTGGAGCAGCCGACCAATGGGCGCGGAGGGGGGCGTGTCAACGTGCTGCAGCACGGGCAGGCCCGCCTCCACCTTGGAGAGCATGCGCGAAGTGGCGGGAACCGCTCGCCTGTCAGCCAGTTTCTCCGTCGGTCCGGTCGGCGTGCGGGCCTTGCCTGGAGGGAGCCGAGCGCGAGGTGAGGAAGGGCGGGACGGGGGCGGCCTGAGGAGAGACTCGGGGGCGCCTTCGGGAATCGAAGCTGGGCAGGGATGGAGGAGGACGAGGAGAGGGCTGAGGGGGGAGCGTGGCGGGAGCGGAGGAAGCGCGTGTCCTTCCCAACGCGACCCTTCTCAGTTGACCTCCCCTTCTCGAGGCGAGGCGCTTGCCCCCCGCGCCAAAGTTGCCCCTCCGGTACACCCACGCGGCGGTGCATCCTTCCCGCTTTCCCCATCCCGCAAGGGTCTCCCTCCCAGACCCGGCTCCCTTCCTCCCTCCCCTCACAGCCCTTCCTCCGTGGCTCGCCAGGTCATCTTTCAGGGACTGCTCGCTCTCCCCAGTCCCACATCCCCACCCCGTGCACCCAGTCGCCTCTTATGGGGGACCCCCACGCACCCACAGCCTTGGGCCCAGTGTCACGCCCGCAAGAGTACAGTGCATCCTGCCGGCGTTCCCGCTTCCCCCATCCCACAAGAATCAACTCTCTGGACCGATTAAACTTTTCCTCTCCTTTCCATTTGCCCTTCCTCCATCCCACAAGGATGCAACTTCTGGACTCATGCCTTTGTTCAGCTGCTCTCCAGTCCTCCTTTCTCCATCCCCTACGGATCGAACTTCTGGGTCTACTGCCCCCCCCCCCCCCCCCCACCCCTCAGTGGGTTCAGAGCACAACTTCTTCCTATCCCCAGCTAGGCAGACTGCCAGGAACCGATCCCTCTCTCCAGTGCTCCCTCCCCCCACTAGGACACCCAACTGGGTCTTCTTAGAGAACCAGTGTGGCAGAGCAGCTGGAGTGTTGGACTGGAACTTAGAGGATCTGGATTCTAGTCCCAGCTCAGCTATGAAGCTCAATGGGTTTGGGCCAGTCACAGAATCTCAGCCTAACCTAGTTCACAGGGTTGTTGTGAGGATAAAATGGAGAGGAGAACTTTGTAAGCTGCTTTGTGTTCCTTGCCAGTGGAGGAAAGGTGGGATATAAATGTGAGGTGCAAAAATTTTACTTCTAGGCCTTGTGTGTCTCCCCAGCACAATTAGGCATCTTTCCAGTATTTACCTCTGTCCCACAAGGATTTGACTCTGAACCTACTTCTCTTTTCTTTCCTCATTGTATGGAGAGCAAAATCCTTCTTAGTAATAACAAGGCAGTCTTTGAAACACTGATCCCTCTCTTCCAATACTATATTTCCTGCCATTCGTGTAACATCCAATTGTTTCTAGTTCAAGATCACAAATTCCCCCACAAAAGTATTTCTTTCCGGTATTTCCTTTCCCTTCATCCCACAAGGACATGATTCCTGCACTCACTTTTCCTCTATTCTGTACCTAAGCAGGCAGAATGCCAGGAACTGATCCAGCTCTCTGGTGTTACACTCCCTCCACTGCTTCACATCAAGTATCTCATCCAAGATCACTGCTCCCCTGCCCCCACACCTCCGAGATTCGACTCCTGGGCCCAATTTATTTCTACTCCCTGCTACCCTCATGGGAAGTTGCCATCTATTGTGTCAGAGCCTTGGTCTACTTAGCCCAGTATTGGTGGCACTGACTGGCAGCAGCTGTCCAGGGTTTCAGGCAAAATTATATCCCAGACCTTCCTGGGGGTGCCAGGGACTGAACCCAGACTGGTCTGTGCGCAGAACAGGTTCTGTGTTGCTGAGAGATGTTGTCATCAGCCATGCGGTCTGTCTGAGGCTTAACAAGCCCAGCGTGCCCTCCTGTGATTAATCATGCTCCTCTGCTGCCCAGCATTCATTCAGAGGCTGCCTCTCAGCAGACCCTCACCCATTCCCACCTGTCTGTGCTGCTCATGCAGTCCACACTTACATGGGGTTCACCTGGATTGCCCTTACTCCAGGATCCAGTTTTTTCCTCACCTCTAGACCACTCCCCTTGAACAGCCATACAGTCTGACATATCCAGTAAGTACTGCTCAGCCCTGTTGAAGTCTGACCTTGTTCAATTTTAACTTCCTTTAATAAATGTCTTTCACATCAGAGTCTCACCCAGTCTCCCTCCATCCCACACACATCATATATCCATGAAACCAGCATAGCTACAGGATTTCACTGGGGACAGGAGTAAATTTCCTGTATTTTAGGTGCTGCCAGATGCCAGGTATGGATGTTCTGCTACTTTCTTTCTTGATATTTACTAAGCTTTTGCTCTAAGTAATGCTGCACTTGCTGGACAGGACTCAGCATGTCACTCAGAGCCTGTAGCACACACAATAGATGAGAGAAGTGCCATGTTATGGATTTTCGCTTCAGGAATAGAGTTCTGACCTGTGAAAGGGAATCTGTATAATTTACTGGCAGGAATGCATTAATCAACATTTCCGTTAGGAAATAACTGCATTACACACACATCCTTGTAACTGAACCATGATACAGCTTGTTAAGCTAAACTGTAGTTTTGGAAGATTCGAATGTAGAGTAAAGAAATATTATAAGGCCTTTTCCCGTCCAATGTTTCCCATTCCATAACCTTTCCCTCCACAAAACTCCAAAGCTGTGTTTGCCGGGACAAAAAGGCTGTCAGAACTATACAGGGGAAGAAAAAGTCACTTGAGAAAGCTGAGAAAGAGGGTTGGGCTTCTCTGTTTTAAATTTGGCTCTGCTCTTCACTCCCTCTACCCTTAATGCACTTTAGTTATTGAAATGTTTAAATCAGACAATGGGAGAACATCAGTGAAAATAAGAAACTCTAAAGGGTATCAAATGTTTTTGCAGTAAAAACATCTGTTGAACTAAGTAATTTTATGGGGTTTAAGGTTAGTCATGTGTTAATGTTTGCATCTAAAAGAAAGAGGAGTAATTCAACAGCAAAAACAAAATATAGCATTGGTCAATAAATGAAAATTCAATCTATAGGGATGCAGTTGAGAAGGTTTGATAATTGGCAAGTCTGGTTCATTAGTTTGAATATTCTTAAAAATAAGTTTCATAATCAAATGCTTCTACTAAAACATTGCTGTATACTTTTTGATCTTCTTTGTTTGTCCTGTTGAAAAGATTGAAATCCTCTCTCATATTTATTTTCTATAATTAAAATACAGACACTTAGCAATACATTTTGTAGACCTTCATACAATATCCAATGTATACATGTGCATTTTATGTCTTCTATTTGTATGCATTGAATCCTATCAGATGTGTTGTTAAATGTCTAAATTCTGCTTGAGTCTTAATGTAAGGATGAAAATATCAGTGACATATGAAAAGCAATCCTTATTTGACTGAATTGCTATGATATAACTTAACCCACAGGTCCCCAGTGCAATATCTGTGGGTATCTCCTGCGGTACCTAGACAACTCTTTGTTCCACACTTCTATCACACAAACAAAATGATAAAAAAATTGAGACGTACTTAGAGCACCATCTTTCTTGTTCCTAAACCTGCTGGTGATCAGGAAGAGAAAGCAAGGGAGATGGGAGAGAAGGAACAAGGCTAGAAGTTGGAGGGGAGGAAACAGTGTGGTAAAAATGTGTGGGGGAGAAATAATGGGGCTGGAGGCTGGGAGTGGAGAAAAGCATCAAGATGAAGGGTGGAGTGGGAGAACAAGAGCTAGGCTAGGGAGAAGGCTGGAACAGGGAAGGGAAGGGAATGGTGAGGAGAGGGGTTGGGTGGAGAGAAGGCTGGGTGTGGTGAGACAACAAAATGGAAAAGTCCATGTAGAGGGAAGAAGATTGAGTGGGCTGGGAAGTAGCTCTTTTCATTCATTCTCCGCCTTGCAGCCTCTAGTCTTGCTATTTCTGTTCCTTGCCCTGGTTAGCCTCTCTTCTAGCCAGGCCTGTATGGCAACTGATCTGTGGCTAGCTAGATACTTCATGGGAGCCATTTTGTGGTGATGCTCACAGCAGTTTCTCAAATTCCCAAATGTGTTCAAAGGTCCAAAAAAGTTTGGGACCCCTGGCCTAAACTGAATTCTTTATCGTCTCTGTTGAAGGTCTTTGTCACAGCTCTCTTAAGTGCCTTGTCCTGGTGCGGGAATGCAGAGTGGGTTAGCTGATGGGCCAGCATGCAGCATGGAGAGCCTTGTGACTTGACAGGGGTTGCTGCTGGCAGCTTGCTCTTAACTTTGCAAATATATCTTGGGAAACTGCCCTTTTGATACATAGGACAGAAAACAATTCTCTGGAAGTATCTGGAGAGACTTCTGTCTTGTTACTATTAAGGTCTGTTGCTTTCTTCATTGCAAGCCACGCAGCACAGTAAAAGCACTTGATGTAACATGGTTTGTTTTATGCACTTGAGAGGTTGTGTCTGGGGAACCTGTGTCAATAATCTTTCCCCCTTGACTTTAGAAGGAGTGTGCATGTGACTTAGTGTACTGGAGAACCCTTGTGAAACAGGCTGTTATTTTACAACTGATTGAGAAGAATTTTGGAATACAATGGTGTGTACTGGCTAGATACAACAACCCAGTTTGCACTTAATGGCTATTGTAAGTTCATGAACTCACAGCTAGCCACAATCTAGTATGAGTGAGCAAGAATCTATCTACAGTGCTCTCCTGCCTTTTGTTTACACCCTGCAGTTACCCTTTTTGTAGGTTGATCATGTAATGTCTGAACCAGGTTTTCTGGATTAGGGATTACACAACAGAAAGTAAATCTACACTCTGTTCTTGGGCTGACTTGGGGCAATCATGGGTTTTTAACTGAAAACAGAAGTGAGGAGCAAGTTGGAGGCAGTGCAGTGGCTGGCTCCCCCTCATGTCCACAAAAATCCATGGTTTATATAACCCAAGGTTTATTGTTGTGTGCAAACCAATTCAATATAAATAAAAGGTTAGTTCTAAGCAAGATACGTTTGATTTTTCTTGCCTTCGAAATCCATTCCCTCTCCCATGTTCTCTCTCATCTCCCTCTCTTCCTTTTTCCTGGTACCTAGCCAAGCATGGTACAGCACACGTGGAATATTTCTTGGTATACTCAGTGTCTGTAGGGATTTTTGAATCCCAGTTTAATCACTGAAGGAAACAATGGAAGCACAGATGCTTGGAACGCAAAGGCTTTCATTTATTTTGTATAACTCTGTTTTGCCATTGAGACATTTGGGAAATAGGAGATTTTAGATAGTTTTAGCAAATAAACCTGCTAGCTTTGCTGCAGATAAACATTTATACTCTGAACCTGTATATTGTATTCAGTGTAATGCAAAAGCTGAACTAAGTATCTAGGTTTTGTTTCTTTCGTGGACTCACTAGATAGTCTCTGGTAAACTACGCAGTCCAGTTCACACTTTGCCATGAGGAGTTGCTAGCACTGACGTACCTTGCAGGATTGTGATAAGGATTATATTGAGCATTATTGTGAAAAGGGAGGATAGACCTATTTCAAGTAAAGATTACAATAAGCATTGGGAACATTTGGTACCAGTACTGCAGAAATGCTAGAAACTATTCTCACATTTTTAGCATCTCTGCAACAAGCATAACATGTGGTGCAGAAACTGTAACTTACCTTATATGCAGATTATTTCCTGGGTTGCTCCTTCATTGTGATTTTCTTATACCCTGAAGAAATAATCTTGGTGGGAGGAGGATAATCAGGTCAGAGCATATCTTTTAATGTCTGCACAACAGCATTTTATTATCACATGTATAACGCCTTTAAGTGAACAGTGTGTACTACTGAATTGCAGCCCAAGGTCAGCAGTTTCCATTTAGTTTTATCTCCATTTTGTGGAATTGCAAGCTGTGTTTGTTAAAGGAGCCTTAAAGAAACAAAAAACACATTCCACCCTGAACTTGTGCAGTTGTACTTGGACATCCTCAGTATGTTTTGTGCAGTGTGCTAAGCAGTAGCCTGTGAGGGTGGTAGTGATATGGAAAGGAAAGTTAAAGTTATGGAACAGGTTGTGGGAAGCTGTGAAATAGCTTTGATTACTTCTGCTTACGGGAGTGAGCAAATTCTTGTGACTTAATGGGCGCTCGGATATAATGGTGCCCGTTTCAATAGTCCCTCCCACTGTCTATTTGTACTGCTTCCCTTTTTTGGAATTGTTCTTAAAATTAGTTCGTGTCTCTTGGCAATTTGAAATATTGTTTATAAAAGTTACCCATGCAAGCTTTTATGCACACAGTTTGTTCAAAGGTGAATTATAAACTGGCAAATCACAGATCAAGACCCAACAATCCTCCCCACTACACAAAATTTTCTGTAGCAAATGGATTCTAAGAGAGTCTTGTGAACACCCTGTGAGGTAGGACCAGCAGCCTTATGTCAGATGGCGGCATTTTTCTGGTGCATGAACCCCGCTGTAAGGCAACTTGAGATAACAGTGACAAAATAGTTCAGATGCAGGGGTGGGGGTGTCCTGTGACTGCACTTGACAATGACATTTCCTAGATATTGGACCTGAGCCAAAGCAACAGTACCTGGGAAAGAATTTGACCCATGCATTACACAGACAGATCTCTTGCCTCCCTGTTAATAAGTGCGCGCGCGCGCACACACACACACACACACACACACACACACACACACACACACACACATCTGTGATCAGTGCTGCCGTCTTGTGGACTTGGGTACTTTTTGCCAGGAGTGTTTCTGGTGCTGGGACTGCCTGGTCTGACAGGGACTGATCTGCGCTTGACCTGTAGGAGTGCCTCTTGGAGCCTGTTGTAGTGGAGGACTTTAGTGTGGCATGGTAAGGACAGTAAAGTAGTAAAATACCTAGATACTTTTCCGTGTGTATGAAAAGGGGTGTTGTTTTCTACGCTTTCTGTGTGTCAATATGTACTTTTTCCATTTCAGCTTGCAGTGCAGCCTGGGAGTTACTCTGTAGGGATGTTGAAGGGAAGGAGAAGCGGCATCTTGTGTGTGCTGCACCGTAATCCCTCTTGGAATGGCTTCCCTCAATTTCAGTGTAATTTGAGGAACAGCCAGAGTGCTGTTCCAAATTCTGACCCCCCCTCCCCCCAGTTTGTGTAGCACTGATGTACATAACTCTTCATAGTCTAACATAAGTTTTAAAAGATAGGATACTGCCCTGAGGTACTCACAGTCTGAATGACCAAGCCACTCCAGGTCTGTGAGGCATACCCAATTCAGCCTATAGCTGGCACCTCTTCATATTTTTCCTGTAGCACAGTCCTGATTAAGGCTATTGCCAAGGATGTGGTTTTGCAAAGAACAAAAGAACTTCAAGCATTCATTACTACTAAAAACAGCTTTTGGTTCTGTCAAATTAACCATGCTGGAACCAACAGCCTGTTCTGATTAGAACCAAGTGTGGTTTTCCTTTGATGGCCCAAATGGGGGAGAGAATCTTTCTCTTGCCACCTATTCTCTTTCTTTCACTCACAACAGCCCTGTCCTTTTGCTTTGTCCCCTGTTTCTGGAAGGCAAAGGACTGGACAGGGATAGCTTGATTTCAGTAATCTGTGATTACCAGATCATCTCTAGGTTATCATCTCTAGGCTAGATTACTACAATGCACTTTATGTGGGGCTGCCCTTGAAGACAGTTCAGAAGTAAAGGTCCAAATATATAAGGCCAGTTCTGGCCCATCTGCACTGACTGCCTGTATGCTTCCAGTCCCAATTCAAGGTGCTGGTATTAACCTATAAAGCCCCACATGGCTTGGGACTGCAAGACTTGTTGGAGTGCTTCTCCCAACCCCAATCTGCCTGAACACTATGCTGTGTCCCTAGGGCTTTTCTTGAGAGGCTAGGAGGATGGCAACTAGGGGAAGGGCCTTTTCTGTGGTGGCCCCTATCTTTGGAACAGCCTCCCTGCTGTGGCATGCTTCGGGCTAAATTTGCCATCTTTACAGAGGTCATTCTGGGGCCTGATATGATTAGTCAGGTGCTTTTCTTTTACTCTTGGCTGGGTCTTTTTAAAATGATCTTTTAATGTGCTTTTGTGTTCTTTTAATTTAATTCATAATGCTTTTATCTATTGTATTTTGCTGTTTGGATACTTTGTTGTAAATCTCCTAGAGTTCTTCAGCTATGGGTGATATATAAATGATAATAATAATAATAATAATTAATGGTAATAATAATAATACATAATGAAGAACCAATAAGTATCCAAATGATCTAACTGTGTAGGGGAATGGGTTTGGAAGTCATTAAATCCAGCCCTCCTTCCCATAGGAGGCTAACCCCGCTATGCCCTTTACTCCAATGGGATGGTGGTGGTTCAAACCATAGCATGCCGTAAGGGGCAAGCTGGATGGGCTAGGTCATGCTTAAATCATACCAAAGCTGTTTATATGAGTTCTTTTTCAAATGGCTTGAATAAACAATGTTGTCTGTGTAGGAAAAATAAACCCTAGAATTATTTGATCAGTATGAATTGTTGGAAATCCCCTGCCCTCTTAAACATACAATGTAAATGCATGATTCTAATATATATTGAGTCCTGGCACTGGAGAATGCATAGGTGTCAATATCAGTGAAATGTTCTGACCAACCATTAATCTTTTCTGTAGGCTCCCATGATCAGTCCATCTTCCAATGCTGTGGGAATGTTTCCATAGCTCTGTCTTCCTGGAACAGTGGTTTGCATTTTCCAGGAACCCTGCCTCTTCCTTAGTCAAAAGCTCACAGCTCCCAAGATCTAGCTGTAGCTCTCCTTTCAGCTATAACTGCATTCCAGAGTTTTCAGGAAGAAAGGAAGAGGAGTTTATCTGTTTATTATGTCCAGTTATATTATTCATCCCTTGGCATCTAGTTCAGTATTGTCTGCTGCCCCTCATACTTTGTTTTCTTCCATCTTCTTTGCTTTTGAAGCTCTCATGTTGTCATCTCTGATACCTAAAGAAAGGGAATTGTTGAAATTTTTGTGAGGGGAGAATTGTTTTTGATCATGAGCTTCTGCAGATAGATCGGTATTGCTAAAAATATTGCTGAGACTTATTTGTGTTGTATCCTTTGCCCAGGCATTCCACTGACATATATTCATTTGCCACGTATCACCAGAGAGCATGTTTTGGCCTAGAGACTAAATATCGACAGCCCTGCCCTCTCTTTTTACAATCTCCTGTCGTGCTTTTCCTCTCTGGCAATGAGTGGCTTCACAGCCTGCTTTTTACATTTCTAGGCCAGAAAGCTTCTGTTGCTACCTGCACAGCACTGTTTGCGCCTGCATCTTGGCACTTGGCAAAGGAGAAGCTGCACAACACAACCTCAGTAACTTACTCAGAGTTTCCATGAATTCTGGCAGTATGTATTCTAGAATGCTTCGGACTTCCTCCTCCCTCTCCTGACTGTTTAAAGAGTCATTCTCATTTATACCCATCCATTTAACTCAGTAATTTCTGTTTCCAACCCAGAGTGGTTTGCCCTGGTTCTGGCCACACTTGTATAGAGTTGTTGCATCTGAATGTGTATCCCTTGTTTGATTTCAGAAGATTTTTCCTATGCATACTGGTTCAGATAAAAGAGAAGAAAAGGGAAGAAGGACTATTGGTTTATAGGTTTATGGCTAGGTAGGAAAGAGTAACAACGCTGTATGCATTTAGAGAGCATGACTTTGACATTGGCCCTTTGTGTGACTGCCATTTTGTAGAAAAGAGAAAAATCCCTTGCGTCTCACTGCCACTCCAACCTCACTGGGTGCCTTTTATAATCCTTTTTGTGATCCATCCCTTCAGGGGAAGAGCAAAGTTGGCTATATGCAGCAATGGTGTCAAAGCAGTTACCCCCAGTGACTGCGGGTAAAGTGTAAGAGTTGTCTCTCTTCAAGTCCTTTTGTTCCCTAGCATGTGTCTGTTGAAAACAGGGAGAAGCAGGCCTTGCCACTTGCACTTGATTAGTCTACTGAAGTAACACTGGGTGTGCCTTGGAAAGTGTGAAGCGGATTTAGGAATGGCATTCAGCTGAACTAGGCTTGGATGCAAATGAATCTTTTGGGCCTTTGGATTTGCTTCGATCCATGTCCCGCTGAAGCAGCAGAATACTGCCACACATTTTTACCCGTACATGGTCTTAAACTACTTCACACAGTTATTATGAAGATAAAATGGAGGGGAAGAACCTTGTAAGCTGTCTTGGGTTCTTTGAAGAGGAAAAAGAGATGAAAATAGGTATAATATAGTGACCCGGAGCAAGTTAGTACAATAGAAATTTAAATGGCCCCTTATTCCACCAAGGGCCTAGTTCATTTTTTTTGAAAAGGCTAACTCCTCTCTACCCTACAAGCTGACTCTGTTTCTCAAGGAATTCCTGTTACTTCTGTGAAACAAAGATTTCAAAGTTAAGCTAAGCTGTTAAGACTATGGGAATGTCAATCTCCTTTTAATAAGAAAGCAGTAAATTTTGTGCAACAGCACAGGGAGCCCCTGTCAGGACTGTGTGTGGAGGATTGACAGAAAAAACGCTTCTTGCCCCATCTTTTTATGCTTTGGGGAAAGAAAACAAGTCTCTTTGGTAGCCAGATGGGTCCAGTCAAGCCTTACCGCTCCAGTGATGGTTGTGCCTCTTCTCTGTCTGGCAGTGGTCCAGAGCTGTTCTGGGTCAGACTACAGGAGACTGAAGTCTGTCACACATAAACAGAACTTGTATTTAATGTGGCCAGGAGCCTAGTAAATGGGCGTGGAAGTATAATTCCTCTTTAGGTCATAAGCAGTGTGTCTTGCTAACGGCATGGATTGCCAGAAGACACACATGCCTCATGTGAGCATAATGATGGAATCCAGTGGTTAATAGTTTGATATCGATCCCTCTGATATCCCTGCACAATTCTGGATGACTAGTGCAAGGAACCCTAGATTTCTACCCTTTTAGGCCTAGTGAGGTTTACACAGATCAGATTGCTTGTGAGTCTACCCATGGGATGGTTAAGTCATGGGTATTTGTCACTATGCCAAACCAGTGAGATTGCCAAACCAGTTGGCGAGTCACTTGGCTGCCTGCGTCTGCTTGCATATTAACCCAGGAAGTATGCACACCACTTCTGGCTTGTGAGCCATGGTTTTAACCCAGCAAGAAACCATGGGTTGAAAATCTACGTTGTTTCTCCCCCAACAGTTTGGATACTATAGCAGATAACCTGGGATAGCAGGAACAGGGCGTTCCTGGGTTGTTCGGCAAAGCAGAAATGGATGTGGGAGGCAACTTTTTGGTTTAAAACAACATGCAAACTGTGTGTCTGTTGATGCAGAGCATGAGTAGGCTATTTGGTTCATTTGTCAGGGCATATCCTTCAAATACCAGGGAGCAGATAAGTGTGTTGCAGACAAGCTGAACCTCCCATAAAATGGTTGGCTTGCACATTTCTGCCTTCCTGAGCACCTAGGGTCTCAGGAAAGGGGTGGGAAAGTGTGAGGATTTGTGTCCAAACAAAAAGGTGAGAGATCTTGTTGTGAAGTAGGTGATCTACTGATCTACTGAAGTAGGTGATCTAGCTTTGCATTCTCTTGACTGCTTGCCTTTTGATGAGGGTTAAGAAAATACAAAGTAAAAAGTAAACTTTTGTAGGCAACTTTCCTCAGTGTCATGAATGGACATGGCACTTTGACAGGAGACATTTCCCAAGACATTGACAAGGGTGGAGTTTTCATTCTTTTCACCGGAAAATGCACACTTGTGAAAGATTGGAATATTTTTTTTTAAGGATGAAGGCATTTAAAGGCAATTAAAAAGTGTAGGCAGTGGAATCTTCAAGATGCCCATGAGAGGACAACCCATGGTGGGCCCA